GTTTGTTCCTACCTTATACTAAAAAGGATTTATTTATATATGTATTTATGGATATCCAGAGAAAAAACTTCATGTCTTTTGGACACTTCCTTTCCCTTTTGCTTCCTGTAATTTGCTGTTTGTTATTCTTCAGGTGACCACTTAAATACCAGCTTTTCACCATCTTATCTTCATCATCTTATCTAAATAAAATAAGTCAGTACTACTCTGCATAAGCTTACTAACATTATGTGGTCTTTGTCTTTTAGTAACTACCAGAATTTGTAATTACATCTTTGCTTGCTTCCTTATTTGCTGTCTTTTAGCACCTCTAGACTTTGGGATCCATGAAGGCCAGAATCAATTCTGCTTTAATTTTAATTTAACTGTTTATCCTCTATTTAGCATCCTCTCAAATGAGTTGATTCATTGGTTTATCTCCAGCTGTGGCTTCATTTTATCCAGAGTCACTCCACTTATTTCTCAGAGTATAATGATGTTTTTAAAATCAGTTTCAATTCACGTTTAAAAAGTTCCAGGAGAGGGGCGCCTGGGTGGCGCAGTCGGTTAATAAGCGTCCGACTTCAGCCAGGTCACGATCTCGCGGTCCGTGAGTTTGAGCCCCACGTCAGGCTCTGGGCTGATGGCTCGGAGCCTGGAGCCTGTTTCCGATTCTGTGTCTCCCTCTCTCTCTGCCCCTCCCCCGTTCATGCTCTGTCTCTCTCTGTCCCAAAAATAAATAAAAAACATTGAAAAAAAAATTAAAAAAAAAAAAAAAAGTTCCAGGAGTAGGAGTAAGGGTGGTATCACAGTATTGTGACTCTTAAGCATACTTGTCCATTCTAGTAAGTTTATATTTAGAAATGTTAGGTTTGGCTTTATCTGCATTTAGATGACAAGTTTTTCTTCCTCTTAATGAAAATAAGCTTTGTAATTTTCTAATTTCTGGGGGTGAAATGAGTATTTCAACACTAGCTTGCTGATCCTTTTTTTTCTTTTTTCTTTTTTTTATTGTCCACCTGTTGTGGACAATACCAGTGATCTAAAAGGATTTTTCATTCTGACTTCAGCTAAAATTGAAGATTGGGCAGAGATATCACGAGGCAGAAATAGCCCTAAATTTGTGACAGAAAAAAAATCCATTCAGCAAGGCTATACCTAAAATTTGCTGAAGGCCAACCAGAAAAACAAAATGCATTTTCTGTATTCAGTTCCTTTAAATTGTTCAGTTACACCTCCACCTCTTCATGCCTGAATAGCTACTTAGTCCTCTACCCTGGCTTTGTACAGTGACACTTCTGCCAAAAATCGGCTTCAAATGGAAATCTCTTTGACCTTGCTGGAGCACACAACAGTTCAGTCCCTTTGGCAGGGCCTAGACTCTAGGTCTTTGGTTCCCTCATTTAGCAATATCTTACTATCGTTTGTGTCTCTGGCTTCCTAGTGGTTTTCCGTCCTCCAAATCAGGTCTCTTTCCTATGGGTATAGTTATTTCCCCTATGATCTAGTGCGATAGCAGCTTCCTGGACTTGCTTGCCTTTCTACAAACTCTTAAAATTTGTATCTAAAACTGGGGTGTAATAATTAGAGACTGGGGCGAACTTGAACTTGAATTCACGTATTATGAGATCACAACCTGAACCGGAATCAAGAGTCCACCCCTTAACAGACTGAGCCACCTGAGGAGATGGCTTTTGAGCTGAGATCTGAATAACAAAATCTGAGAGGTAGGGGAGGGTGAAATGTTTGTTGATTATCATTTTCCCTTTACAAACCAGGGTCAGCATCATAAAAGAATCTACAGCAAAACTGTGAAGCAGTGAGGTGTGATAGAATAAGCCCTAGAATTTTGGCCTGGTTTGGCTATTAACCAGCTTTGTGGTTTTTGGCCGATCCCTTGTTCTTCCTGATACACACATGCTATAGCCCTTCAATTTTTTGCTCCTTGGAAGTCGCCACAGTTGTAGTCATAGGGTATAAAGGAGAATAAGTGAGACGGCTTGATAGAGTGCAAGTGTGCCTTGCTGACCAAACTCAGCGGGCTTGGCACAATTCTGAGGCTCTCCATTCATTCATTCATTCATTCATTCATTCATTCCTGCGGGGGAGGAAAAACAAGGAAAAAGACAGTTTTGTTTTTTCATGGGCAAATGACCCCCAAAAAAGGTTGCCTCTTGATGCTAAAGAAGAGCTAAAAGAAAGTGACGGTTCTTCACTTTATAAATTACCTCAGGACTGTGTTTTATGGATTATATTTATATTTTAGGATTAATATCCTCTATTTTACAGGATGTAGTACCATGGTATTAGAGTATTTGAGAATACTCTTGCATTTTTTTTTAATTAAAGTATAATTAACATACAGTGTTACATTAGTTTCAGGTATACAATATAGTGATCTAACAGTTCTGTACATTACTCAGTGCTCTTCCTGTCACCTGTTTTACCCATTCCCCCTCTCTCCAGCCTTCACTTGGGTAATCATCAGTTCTCTATGCTTAAGAGTCTGTTTTTTTGTTTATGTCTTTTTTCCTCTTTCTCTTTTTTTAAATTAAATTTGCTTTTCAAAGTTTATTTTTGAGACAGCACGCACAAGCAGGGGGAGGGACAGAGAAATGGGGAGACCGAGGATCCAAAGCAGGCTCTGCGCTGACAGCAGAGGGCTCGAAAACAAGAACCATGAGATCATCATGACTGAGCTAAAATCAGACTCTTAACCAACTGAGCCACCCAGGCACCCCTATTTGTTTAGTTTCTTAAATTCCACATAGGAGTGAAATCATATGGTAGTTGTCTTTCTCTGACTTCATGTAGCATTATACCCACTAGATCCATCCATGTTGTTGCAAATGGCAAGAATTCACTCATTTTTATGGCTGAGTAATATTCCATTCCACCACAACTTCTTTATATTTTCACCTGTTGATGGACACTTGAGCTGCTTCCGTATTTTGGCTATTGTAAATAATGCTGCAATAAATATAGGGATGCATCTGTCTCTTCGAATTAGTGTTTTCATATTCTTTGGGTAAATACCCAGTAATAGAATTACTGGATCATAAGGTAGTTCTGTTTCTAAGTTTTAACTATTTTCCACAGTGGCCACACCAGTTTGCATCTCCACCAGTAGCTCTCAGGGGTTCCTTTTTCTCCACGTCCTCACCAACATTTGTTGTTTCTTGTGTTTTTTATTTTAGCCATTCTGATAGGCATGAAGTGATACCTCATTGTGGTTTTGATTTGCATTTCCCTGATGATGAGTAATGTCAAGCATCTTTTTATGTGTCTGTTGGCTGTTTATGTATGTCCTCTTTGAAGAGAAATGTCTGTGTCTTCTGCCCATTTTTTAATTGGATTATTTGTTGTTTTTGGTATTGAGTTGTATGAGTTGTTTATATATTTTGGGTACTAACCCCTTATCGTATGTATCATTTGCGTATATCTTCTCCTGTTCAGTAGGTTGTCTTTTTGTTTTACTGATTGTTTCCCCCACTGTGCAGAAGCTTTATTTAAAACACATTTATTTTTATTTTTAATTTAGAGAGAGAGAGTGTGGATCAGGGGAGAGGGGAAGAGGGAGAGAGAGGCTCCCAACCAGGCTCCAAGCCCAGCACAGAGCCCGACATGGGGCTTGATCCTGCAAGCCTGAGGTGACCTGAGCCAAAATTAAGAGTTAGACACTCAACCGACTGAGCCACCCAGGCACCCCATTGTGCAAAAGCTTTTTATTTTGACGTAGTCCCAATAGTTTATTTTTACTTTTGTTACCCCTGCCTCATGAGACCTATATAGGAAAATGTTGCTATAGCTAACGTCAGAGAAATTACTGCCTGTGCTCTTTTCTAGGATTTTTATGGTTTCAAGTCTCACATTTATTAGGTCCTTTATCCATTTTCAGTTTGTTTTTGTGTATGGTATAAGAAAGTCATTCAATTTCATTCGCTTGCATGTAGCTGTTCAGTTTTCCCAACACCATTTTGTGTTGTTCTTGCATACTTTTTAAGCCTCTTTCTTGGAATGAAATATTAAGGATTTGCCCCGTGGCTTTAAGGCCTCGGGAGTAGAGAAATGGTCAGATGTTGCCATACACTCAGTAACAAGACATCATTGCATGGAGTTTCTTTTCTTAGAATTGGGAAACCCAGGGGGTTTCTGGGTGGCTGTTGGTTAAGGGTCTGACTTCGGCTCAGGTCATGATCTCACAGCTCATGAATTCAAGCCCTGCATCGGGCTCTGCTGTACTGACAGCTCAGAATCTGGGCCTGCTTCACATTCTGTGTCTCTTGCTGTCTGTCTGCCCCTCCCTCTCCCTCTTTCCCTCAAAAATGAACATTAAAAATTTTAAAAAAAGAATTGGGAAACCTGTCCCAGGTCTTCTCAATACTTTTAACAGCTGACTTAGTCTGAACAACTTGTCTGCTTATTGAAAAAAAAGACTATGTGTACCAAATCATTGGTAGCTCCTCTCACTTTGTTAAGTGGTTTATGTGTTTCCAAGTCAGAGCTACAGGTCAGATTTTCCATTTGCTGCTGTGGCTTGGTTTGTATGGGATTGTGCTGCTTAGAAATCCTTCAAAAAAAAATAAAAAATAAAAAAAACTGTTTTTAAAGTAAGCTCCATGTCCAGCATGGGGCCCAGTCTCACAACCCTGAGATCAAGAGTTGCATGCTCCATCAACTGAGCCAGCCAGGCACCCCTCCCCCCCAAATTGTATTTATTTTTTAAGTAGGCTTCATGCCCAGGGCAGAGCCCAACATGGGGCTTGAACTCGTGACCCTGAGAGTGAAGACCTGAGCTGAAATCAAGAGTCAGTTGCTTAACCGACTGTGCCATCCACCTGGCCCTAAAAAAATCTTTTTAAATGAAGTGTGAATACCGTAGAAATTCCTCTTGATAAACGGGCAGTGTTTTTAATCAGTCATTTCATTTGTTTAAAAAAAACAATTGTTTCTAAGTGTCCAGAGAAGTTCAAGTTTGCAGAGGTATTCCCTCATTTGTTTGCATCTGTTTTCTACTTTAGGTGTAATTGAAAAGTGACCCTCTCTTCAGAGATGTCAAAAACAAACAAATCCAAGTCTGGATCTCGCTCTTCTCGCTCAAGATCTGCATCAAGATCTCGTTCTCGTTCATTTTCGAAGTCTCGGTCCAGAAGTCGATCTGTTTCTCGTTCAAGGAAGCGCAGGCTGAGGTAAGGGGATGTGATTGTATATCAGGATAACCATTGTATCGGTCAGTGAGGGCTCTGAAGATGTTTTGCTAGACTCTGTGAGTGTCAAATGGAGTGGGGGGTTGGCTTCAAGTAGAGGGTTGGGCTGTCAGATATTACAGGTTTGTTCAAACGCTGCAAATCCAAATCACCTTTGATTGCCATACTGTTTGCCTAATTCCTTTTCTCCTCTGCCAGCATGTACTGTTTCTCATCTACTTTGGAAGAAAGAGCATTTTGTTTTATTTGAGCTGCTTGCTTCAAATCTCTACACGTGATTGATTTCTTCCTGAGGTATTTTTGCAGGCTTTGGACAAAAGGTTGTATGCATCATCACCAAAGAAAAGATAGCTAAGGGGATTAATACTATGAGCAACTCTGCGAGGCAAGAAGCCTCATTAATTCAATAATGTAATTAAACCACAAAAACTTAACAGGAGTCATTTGTGTACATCTGATGTGCCAGTCACTAACAAGCTGTGTCTATTTAGTAAAACACAGCAAAACTATCTAAAAATCACTCTGGTAGATATCTCTGTGCCTAAGTGTACAAATAATTCTTTTGAATTTATTGCCAGTATTCTTTAATTCTGTCAGGTTTCACATCTTTCAGTAGGTCTCCCGGTTTCAGTTATGTCTTAGAAAAACCTCCATCTCGTTTCCTCTTTTCATGTATTGTGAGTTGGGTTTTTCATTCTTTACAACTTATAATTTTTTCTTGTGAACAGACAACTTTTTTGTAGATACAAGTTTCTATCCATGAATATTGATGTATTTAAATACCAAAGGGGGATATTTGCACAGCTTCGTTCTTGTTATCAGAATCGCACCAGGCAAGGAAGTAGTTTCTCAGCTTCACCACTTGGACCCCCTCCCCCTGCCCTGCACTCCTTATTTCACATAAGTTTCTAGAATTCTTTTGTTAAATGAATTGATTACAAAATTTAAAATAAACCTCAGGAAAAGTAGTTATTAAGTTGTGTTCTTTACTTCTGTAGTCCTGTGAAACACTTCTAAAATGTCTTAAGGAATTGGTGGGATTCTTTTTTTCCTTCCAACATCTTAAATGGAATCTGTGAGAGGCCTGCCTGAAAAAATTAATTTCAGACCAGAGGGTGAATAAAAAGTTGGTGTGCATAAATATTAATGATTCTTTTTAAAAAAAATATTTTTTTAGTGCTTATTTATTTTTGAGAGAGAGAGAGAGTGCGCTAGTGGGGTAGGGGCAGAGAGAGAGGGAGACAGAGAATCTGATGCAGGCTCCAGGCTCTGAGCTGTCAGTACAGAGCCAGATACGGGACTCGAACTCACAAACTGTGAGATCATGACCCAAGCTGAAGTTGGAGACTTAACCGACTGAGCCACCCAGGTACCGCTATTAATGATTCTGCTGTAAGTTAGAATATACAGTCTCTTCCTCAAACAGAAGAAACACTAGATTTTTTTTTTTTTTTTTTTAAAGATAATATTACACTTTGTGATAATGAGTCCTAGTCTCACCCTCTCTTCTTCCGTGTTTTTTGGGCATGCATTTTTAGGTCAAACTTTGTTCAAGCCCTAGGCTAGAGACTGTTGCTTAATTGTGTCAGAGTCAATATAAATAAATTTCTACCTTTCACCAGCCCCGAAAAAAAGAAGAGGGAAACCCACCAAAATATATTTATATCTACCTTAGGAAGTTGCTGTCAAGGCATGGGACTGAGCAGAGACTCTTAGTAACCTACTCCTGCTTTGCACCCAGAGTCTTTTGATTAGTGCCATTTCAACTTCACTTTAGCTCAGTTTGTTCTGAAGAGAGTAACACTTTAAAACTTAATCTAGTAGATGGAAATTAAGTAATTGCCTCAAAAACAAGGGCTCTACAACCAAAACTGAATGACAAAATTGAACGCACACAAACCAGATTGAAAAATGCTAACCAGCTCTGAAGTATTTGTGGTAGCTGGGATTCCGGGCAGATCTGTCTGGACAGATCTCTTCATATTCTACAGATTATTTGGCATGGTCACTGACTTGGCAAATGAGGGAAAAATATCTCGGGCAGTATGTGCTGGGGTAGGGCTAGAGCCACTTTATGTGCTATCTTATACCGAGAAGATTGTTATTTTGGAGGAATTTCTCCTCTGGAAAACATGTTTTTATACTCGATTCTAGTCTGACATCTCTGTTTTTTAGAAACAGATAAATTTGCCACTGGATGTTCACTTTTTATTTCTGGCTTATCTGTTCCATGATTTTTTTTTTCCTTTTTTTTCCCTCTCCTACAAGGAAAGTATACTATCCAGAGAGTTTGAGAAACCATGCCTTTAAATTAACTTAACTGCTGAGTTCTACAGAATTGGAGAAAATTGATTGTTTCCTTGTATTTCACAGACTGTATCCTTTTAAGTGACTTCTTGTAAATAACTTCATTTGCAATCTGCAGAGACTCATGTTCTTGCATCTGTGCAATGACTGCGGGTTTGGATGCGGTATGCCACAGGGCCCGCACTAGTAGTTGGTGACAGAAGCAGCAGTAGCCTCTGAGGATGGGACATGAATTAAACCCTCCTTAGTGCTGGTGGTGCATCACCTCCCTCAAGTATAGCCATTTAATCGGGTCATACACACTTTCATAGCCTGCATCCGCCTCTTCCTTCTTTTCTTATATTGTTACTGTTTTCGAATGAAAAGTATGGAAGGTAAGTTTTTTTTCATTGTACTTAAATAGTAACTGTTAACAACCAGCCATAAGATACGTTTTTGCTAGTCACAATTGTTCTTGGGGTGAATAAAGAACACCGTGGGAAGACCAATCCCACTCTTATCTTCTATAGATTAATATAAATTTCTTTTCAAAAACACCATTTGTTTAGTTAAGATCTGTCATATTTGCTAAATGGAGTTATTTATAAAACAAGCAAATAAAATCTGTTTTTGGTTAGGCCAAATATGAAAAATTCTGTTGATTAACTGAAGGTTTTTATTCTACTGTATGTAAAGAAAGTATTTTTGCGAAGACTTTTTTCTAGTAATTTTAGATACTTTTATGTTAATGATGTATATCATAATTGACAAGGCACATTCGGTGTCCAAGAACCCCAGCAGATTTTTATACCAACAGATAACTTTGGCTTTTGGATCAAAACAGCTCCCTGTCATTGACAAACTTAGCATTCATAAACATGTAATTTTTACAAAATCAGGTTACTGTTAAATCCCTGTGGTTCTGGAAATGCCCCTTTGCCCAATTAGAGTCCCAGATTGTTGGATGAAGAACACAACATTTGGCTTTAGGTTCACTTGAAAGATGTGTGGGTGGTGGTGCCGGAAGAGGGGTTGGTTTTGTCATTTTCTTTACTGAACCTCCTGTGTACTTGGGTGTTTATGGTCAGATGGTGCCCTCTTGTGGCACCTAGGTAGGATCGTGTGATTCAACAACAGAAAGTCATCCACCTAAGAAATGAAACCATTTCCAGGTCCCCAGTAAATATTTTTTTTAAGTTTATTTTTGAGAGAGACAGTGTGAGTGGGGAGAGGGGCAGAGAGAGAGGGAGACACAGAATCTGAAACAGGCTCCAGGCTCTGAGCTGTCAGCACAGAACCCGTTGTGGGGCTTGAACCCACAAACCGTGAGATCACAATCTGAGCTGAAGTTGGGCTCTTAAACCGACTGAGCCACCCAGGTGCCCCCAGGTCCCCAGTAAGAAAAACAGTATTTTTGTATCTTTTGCTGACCTGATTTCAGTGAATTGTTTTAAGCTCTGAGCAGTAGCATCTCCAAGTTCCTGTTTAAGTGTTCTTTGGTTGGGACTGTGTGTTTACAACCCAAGGTTTTAGTGGAATCTAAGGAAGTAGTCCTGCATAGACAGAGAGGGCTGAATGGGATGAGGAATAGAGTGTTATACCATGATAGGGGGTGAGGACCTACATTTAGTCTGGACCTTTGTCTGCAGATGCGAGCTTGCATTCTTCCTGGCTTCCAATGGTTTAGGGACCTGTAGAATCCCATGTGAAATTCTCAGCAACGTGTATACTATATTAAAATGATTTTGTTTAGTGTACTACATTAAGAACATTATTCTTTTAAGCATTGTAGAAACACATTTCTATTTAAAAAGGGGTACAATATTAATGAAGCAATCTCAATGTGTAATTGTTAAAACGATTCATATCTGTGTATTTGTACTTCATATGGGTCAGCAGTGGGATCAGATATTTAAATTGTGCCCTTTCTTTGAAAATAAAATATTTAAGAACAGGATCTCGAACTGTTAGCTCTTTGTTGGCAGGGATGTCTTAAATAAAAGGCTTGTGTCAAAAATTCAAATGTTTCCCTCCTCCCCCTTTTCAGTTCTAGGTCTCGTTCCAGATCATATTCTCCAGCTCATAACAGAGAGAGAAATCACCCAAGAGTATATCAGAACCGGGATTTCCGAGGTCACAACAGAGGCTATAGAAGGCCCTATTATTTCCGTGGGCGCAACAGAGGCTTTTATCCGTGGGGCCAGTATAACCGAGGAGGCTATGGAAACTACCGCTCGAATTGGCAGAATTACCGGCAAGCATACAGTCCTCGTCGGGGCCGTTCCCGATCCCGGTCCCCAAAGAGAAGGTCCCCTTCACCGAGGTCCAGGAGCCATTCTAGAAACTCCGATAAGTCTTCCTCTGACAGGTCGAGGCGCTCCTCATCGTCTCGTTCTTCCTCCAACCACAGCCGAGTTGAATCTTCTAAGCGCAAGTCTGCAAAGGAGAAAAAGTCCTCTTCCAAGGATAGCCGGCCGTCTCAGGCTGCTGGGGATAACCAAGGAGATGAGGCCAAGGAGCAGACGTTCTCTGGAGGCACCTCTCAAGACACAAAAGCATCTGACAGCTCGAAACCGTGGCCAGATGCCACCACATACACTGCTGGTTCTGCGTCACGGGCCTCTGCAGTTTCTGAGTTGAGTCCCCGGGAGCGAAGCCCTGCTCTCAAAAGCCCGCTCCAGTCTGTGGTGGTGAGGCGGCGCTCACCCCGTCCTAGCCCTGTGCCAAAACCTAGCCCTCCACTTTCCAGCACGTCCCAGATGGGCTCAACTCTGCAGAGTGGTGCTGGGTACCAGGCCGGGACACACCAAGGTCCATTCGATCATGGCTCTGGGTCCTTGAGTCCATCCAAAAAGAGCCCCGTGGGTAAGAGTCCACCGGCCACTGGCTCCACGTATGGCTCGTCTCAAAAGGAGGAGGCTGCTGCTCCAGGAGGAGCAGCCTATACAAAGAGGCAAGTGTCTCGTTTCCTCTCCTGGTTGTGTTTTTATCTCGCCAGCTGGCAGTTTAATTGTAATGTGATCTAGGTTAGAGCTCTGATTAATGGTAATAAGGTAATCCCCGTTTCCTAAACTTTGCAGTAGCAACCTTGAAAAGCATCACCCAAGGAAACCTTTAGCTTAACTCTAGCTTTCCTGCCTCCCTAAATTTGTATTGTAGCATAAAGTTTCTTTAGACTGCTCTGCAATGATGTTTTCACATTTAAAATTTGCCTTGGATTCTACCAACGTAAGCCGGAGAACAGAGTTTTGTGGGTCAGCTATCAAAAAATTATGGTCTTTGTCAAAATGAGCGGGCCATTGGAGATGTTAGACCCTGTAGGACCCACCATCTACTGTGATCAGTCTGCATCAGCCCATGATGATGAAGAGCTACACCTTGTACCCTCACACCCTCCAGTTGAGGAGACTGGGCAAAATGGGAAAGCCTGAGGCTTAGTCCAGGAAGCCCTTGTTTTAAAATCACAAGGTGGGTGTGTGTCCCAGTAGAAGCTAACCAGGTTGTGTGTGTTAGGAGAGGACGTGACTGTGCTTCTGCTGTGGGGGACATGGTGAGTTGGAACCTGAATCTTTGTGTGGTTGGATGGATTGGGATGGCAGAGACAGAACAGGGAATTTGCATTGGGACCAGGTTGTCAAGAGGTACTTAACCGGGCAGGTGGTTCCCCCCTCCTTTTCTCTCTCTTTCTGTCTCATTAGCATATTCTTTGGTGCCCCTGCTGTCCTTTGATTCTTCTTTGCCATATTAACTCAACTATAACTTGATTAGACTTCCTTCGTTAATGGTACAAATGAGATGTTCAGCCTCTGTACTTTCCAGCCTTCAGTGAGTCTGCTTTAAAGTGTAAGTGTGGTTCCTTGCCAGGACTGGGAGTCTCATTAGGAGACTCAAGGATGAGCTCTGCTTTTCCATAAGAACGAGTAGGATGGTTTTTGCCCTCTTCCCCCAATTAACTTGTATTTTGTTTTTATTTGTGTTCGCAGTATATTTCATATTTAGATCTTCTAGGTGACTTGAAGCAAACATGAAGTCTCTTTTGAGACTTGTATTTCCAAATGTGAGTTGTATAAAAAGCAAAACAGTCCAAGGTTGAACATTCTATGTTAACTTTGCTGAAAGCAGATTTTAAGTGACTGAGTGAAGGTTGGATAAGACCTTAATTTTTTTTTTCCTAGACCACTTACAGGTAAGTAGGTTTTTGTTTTTTAGTATCCTAAAAAATTACCTTTGCTGTTTTCTTTTTGGTTGCTCTTGTAAGATACAACTCCATGGGCCATGTATTTTTCTCTTAAATGGCATCCAAGTTCATAGATCTGTGAAGGGCCACTTTTTAGAAATTACTAGAAAGTAACCAAGTAGAAAGTCCTTTGGTAACACTGGAATCTACAAGACATGTTTGTTCAGAGAATTAAAAAAAAAAAAAAAAAAAAGAATGGTGCTGTTTTAGATCAGGTTGCTTAAAGAAGCCTCTTTTGTGTCTCCCTTGTGTTTTATAACTAGGTACCTAGAAGAGCAGAAGACCGAGAACGGAAAAGATAAGGAACAGAAACAAACAAACACTGATAAAGAGAAAATGAAAGAAAAAGGGAGCTTCTCTGACACGGCCTTGGGTGATGCGAAAATGAAATCTGATCCATTTGCTCCCAAAACTGATGCTGAAAAGTCTTTTCGGGGTAGCCAGTCTCCCAAAAGGTATAAGCTTCGAGATGACTTTGAGAAGAAGATGGCTGACTTCCATAAGGAGGACATGGATGGTCAAGATAAAGACAAAGCGAAGGGAAGGAAGGAATCAGAGTTTGATGATGAACCCAAATTTATGTCGAAAGTTATAGCAGGTGCAAACAAAAACCAGGAGGAGGAGAAGTCCGGCAAATGGGAGGGCCTGGTGTATGCGCCTCCAGGAAAGGAAAAGCAGAGGAAAACCGAGGAGCTGGAGGAGGAATCTTTCTCAGAGAGATCCAAAAAGGAGGATCGGGGAGGGCCCAAGAGAACCGAAAGTGGGCACCGGGGGTTTGTGCCTGAAAAGAATTTCCGAGTGACCGCTTACAAAGCAGTCCAGGAGAAAAGCTCTTCACCTCCCCCGAGAAAGACCTCTGAGAGCCGAGAGAAGCTAGGAGCCAAAGGAGACTTTTCCTCAGGGAAGTCTTCCTTTTCTATTACTCGAGAGGCCCAGGTCAATGTCCGGATGGACTCTTTTGATGAGGACCTTGCCAGGTGAGGTGTGGTCCTTGAACCTCAGGGCTTTAGTGGACTAAGGGGCATCTCCTTATCCCTCTCTCTAAGGATGTTCTGGAACCAGGACAGGCCCCTCCTGTATTTCCTGTGCTATCCAAGTTTCATAGCTGATACGTCAACCTGTGTTCAGTGGAGAAGTGTGTGTCACTAAGGAGTTATGTGTTGGGGGCAGTATCACAGGGGTGGTGAAGCATCTTTGCAGTCTTCAGTGACTGGCTTTCTGGGTGTTGGGTCCCCTCTTGACCTCCGTCCATTACCCTACCCCATATCCCCTGTCATCCCATTTTTTCCCCTTAAATGTGCTTAAGGTGATTTTGCCTGTGGAGCCATCCAGAATCCATTTTTCCATGCTGGTTACCAGAGTCAGTTATTACTATAGACCTCCATCACATAACATAGCAATTTTAAAGTTGGGGCTTGGGTGGAAGAAGGGTGTGTTGGCAGAACTTTAGGGAAGAACGGTAAGGCCCAGACTGACTGTGTTTTATACCTGGTGTGAGAACCGCACAGCCAGTTGGAAGTCTGCCTGAGCAGCATTCCAGGCACCTCCCACATCACTGTGTCACTTCACTGAGTGGCCCTGGCTGGGCAAGCTAGTTGATCTTTTAAATACTTTTCAATTTGTTGTGTGTGTTAAAACCAGCAGCGACTCCAAAAACAGAGTTACTGATGTTCAGTACTTTACCCTGACCATTTGTTCCTCTCAAAGACTCCCAGTGAAAAAAGGGAAGAGAGATTTTGGATGCCCTTTTCCCTAGTTATGGTCCATTGAAATTACTTTGAACTTGGGTAGGAAGCAAAAAGGAACTTTGTGGGTAAATTTAAAACTACTGAGGAAAAAAAAGCATTGTATTTTTAGGGTTTGAGTGTTTTGACTTCCTGTATATCTTGTTACACGGAGCCTCCCTATGTTTCTTTTTCAGACCCAGTGGCTTATTGGCTCAGGAACGCAAGCTCTGTCGGGATCTAGTCCATAGCAACAAAAAGGAACAGGAATTTCGTTCCATTTTCCAGCACATACAGTCAGCTCAGTCTCAGCGGAGCCCCTCTGAACTGTTTGCCCAGCATATAGTGACCATTGTTCACCATGTTAAAGGTGAGTGCAGACCCCAGCCTGCTTGAGCCTCCCTTTCTGTGTGCTTAGCTTCCTCTGCTATAAGCAGAAGGATGAGTGGGTGACTAAGGGAGCCTTTTGGGGCCCTTTATCTCATCAAAAGGGCCTTTGAAGCTAGGGACTGGCTTGAAGGAAATTCCTTCCGAGGAGGAGTTTCCATTTTGTAATTACAGACTTGAACATTTCGAAATTATAGTAACCTGTGCTCGTGAGAATAGGTAAAATACTTCACGTAAGGTTTAAAATGCTGGCAGAAGGAAGTATGCAAAGTGGCTTTTCCAGCACCTCTGTCTTTTCCTTTCTAGCAGATGAAAGCCTGTAGAGATCTCTCAGAGACTTTGTGGTGTGAATTTCTTCCCCACATTATTCTACCATTTCCTGGGCAGATTGAGGTGGGCAGGTTGGGAATGGCTGAGAGAAGTGATACAGAAGCTAGGTTGTGCCAGTTACAGGTTCTACCTGAAATCTAAACTCCAGTGGGAGTTGGTGCTGTGATTCACAGAGAAGTGAGCTCTCGGTTTCCTTGTATCCATGTCCTAAGACAAGGGACTTATATAGTGGAAACCCATTGGCCAACATTGGATCGTGTCTGAACCAGCCGTTTTTCCTTCCTCTTTTCAGCGTGTTTGTTAACGTGTATTTGACGACTTGAGTCACATCTCTGGCTACAGGTTCATGCAGAAGAGTTGAATATTCTGCCTTTGGTAGCATAACGTGTTCTTTGAATTCCCACAGAGCATCACTTTGGGTCCTCAGGAATGACATTGCATGAGCGCTTTACTAAATACCTAAAGAGAGGAACTGAGCAGGAGGCGGCTAAAAACAAGAAAAGCCCAGAGATACACAGGTGAGGACTTCAGCCTTACACTGGAGGTGGCCGTAAAAGATCGCTCATCAGATAATAAACTCCTCTTGTTTTTATCAACATTAGGTGCGTTAGCAGCAGGGTTTAGGGTAAATACTCTCCAGACTCTAGGGTAGCAGTGGGCGTTTGTTGTTTGAGTGGAAAGGACATGCCTTAATGACTATGGTTGCTCACTTTGGGCCTGAGGAAGACCGGCCTTTTGATATAGATGAATCCTTGTATTGTTGGGAGCTGACAAATAGTAACCTGTGACCACTGTGAACTTTCTATAGGCAGAGTAAATGCTAAGTTTCTGTAAGCAACCCCTGTGTTCCATATATCTACTTCTTTTGGAAGAATTTGCAGTGGGTGGGAGAGCTTGCAGAATTGTGTCAAAGGGTTTAAAAGCCCAGCAGTTTTAGAGTATCACATTCAATTGTGGCAGTATATTCAGCAGTTTCGGGCTTTGTCTAGAAATAAACTTGGCTGTATCTTTAATTTCTTAATAGTCCGCTCTTGAGCCTGTTGCGGTAGGTAGGAGAATGCTGTTTCTACAACAGTCTTCGGGTTTTAGGGTCTTTGGGGTGTGTGTACGTGCCAGGCCGTTGTTTTCTCATCTAGACCGAATCTCATAGGTAAATAATGGGCTATTATATTCTTATTCCCAAGATGAAAACTGCTCTTTGAGGTTAGCAGGACATGGATAGTCTTGATGTGAATTTGAGATAAAAGGTGTGGGTGTAGGTGAGTCTTTCTTCCTGGCTGTAACAGTATTGGGAAGGAATGAGAAGTTTCTTCAGTTTGAGTTTGAGAGGTTGGTGCGTGTGTTGTGTGTACGCGCCTGTGTGCTCACGGACACACCTATGGGAGAGTATAAACATATAAGCAAAGAATGTAAATAATGTATGTGTCTAAGTTAGGAAACATAATGAAAAAGCATGCCTATGATTCTGTTGCCCAATTTATGAACTAAAATGTTACCACTACTGTATTCATACTGTGGGATATTAAACCTTTTTTCTGTTTTCAATTTTTAGGAGGATAGACATTTCTCCCAGTACATTCAGAAAACATGGTTTGGCTCATGACGAAATGAAAAGCCCACGGGAACCTGGCTACAAGGTGAACTGTTGCTTTGATCGTAATTCCAACAAAATGAGTGCGTTGGGCATGAACTTGACAGAAATGTGTTTGTTTAAATTACTCTCTACTTAAGTTTGTGTTTTTCTTTTAAGGATGGGCATAATTCTAAAAATGAACTACAAAGGGTTAATTTTTATTAAATGTATCAACAACCTTTGTGAAGTGGTTAGAATATGGTAAATGACCCCAAAGTCTATTGAGGTGAGCTTGAGAAAAAAAAGAGAGGAGTTTTGGAACAAGTGCCCATGATGAGAGAAGAAACTTTTTGTGATATTTTTCTGCTTGTAAGTATTATCAAATCAACTATATTACATGCACTATTTCCAACCATGATTTCAAAAAGACATGCATGTCAGAGGAGAGTGAAATATTCATATCTTAACATGGTAGACTGTTTTAAACAGCTAGTCCAGTTTTTTTTTCTAACATTGTACCATATTTATCATCTGTCGGTTACTGTTACTTTAAAAGCTAAACATTATTTTGATAGCCCAGCTACATTTGCAATGATGTGCACGCAAACATAGTTATTAAGAAGTTAAAGCTTGTATGCAGTCTTTTTACTGTGAAATAATAGGTTTGGGGTTTTTTTTAAGTCTTAGTGTTTATTGACCTTCATTCACATATGCAGTTAAAATTTAAAATTAAAGATTTCCATTGCTGCTGAAACCTTTTCTAAAGATATTAATCTTCAAGTCTTCTGGACAGAATTGTCTTGGTAGTTGAAGGTGATGAGAAGCACTCTGGCACAGTGTCTTCTCTCCCACCCCCTTTTCTTTTTCTCCATTTGTCGCCTCCCCCACCCCCCGGTCCTCCCCCAGCTCGGCACTAACCATGTGAAATGCAAGGCTTTGAAACAGCAGAAGAGAGCTGGTCCTCAAGGCCTCACAGAGCTGACCCCATAGAGGTGCTGGGGGTGCACGGCCTCAGGGAGCAGCGTCTGCCTTTGTTTTGTTGTTTTGTTCTGTTTTTGTCTTTGGAGGGTGCAGAGGCCCCATTCCCTCTCAAAACCAACATGATAAAAATAAACCTTAAACTTATTTCGGCAAAAAGCTTAGTAGTTTGTGTAAGTGCAATGTTAATACAGAGTCAGCTGCCCATTCCTTCCTCTTTTAGGGAAGTTTTACTTCCCATGAGGCAAATCCTGGTGCTTAATGATCCTGAATCCACCTTGCCCTCTGCTCTGAGTGTCCCAAGAGCTGTCGAAAGCCTTTGCCCTGGTTTGGGACGCACAGTGCTACTGCTGTCCATCTGCGGTGCATGTGCCCTGAGGCTTCGACTTCCTAGGAAGTCAGCAAAAACGGGGTTTTGCTTTCTTTTTCTGCTGCTGCTTTTTTCTTTTTTAAAATAAATTTCGACCTGGTATTGTCACTTCATGAATTTTCCATTATGGTTTTTGATGTTCCCTCTCTAAAGCTGTTTCTCATTGTAACTAAGCATTTTGGAAGGTTGCTGAAGTGTCCCATGCTCTGTTGCTGGGCTGCATGCTCAGAGTCAGTTCCAAGGAGAACATAAACCCATGGTGGCTGCCACAGCATAGGTAGGGAAGGACAACACGACACAGGCATTTCCGCTCTTGGTGGTGACTATAGGCCTGAGCCAGCCTAACCAGCCACCCTCTAAAGCGGAATCTGGCCTTCTCAGCTTGTAGGCTAGCCAGAGTCATTACTGGGCCACAGAGGAAGCAAACAAGGCGAGATCGATGTTCAGCATTTTCGGAAGGTAGACATCATTATTTCAGAGAACTGGTTTGGGTTCTGTGAGGGACCCTCAGGAAGGGACTTCTGTGGGACGTCCTGTATCCCTCCCAAGCTTGGGTGCAGTGCCTCACACTCCCAGTGCTTCCTCTGTACCACTCCATTGGAGTGGAAACCACAGTTTGTGGGGTGGTTGAGTTGGCAGCCCTGAATCCCAAAAACCTTCATTTTGATTTCTCTCTTGGCAGACTGAGGGAAAATACAAAGATGATCCTGTTGATCTCCGCCTTGATATTGAACGTCGTAAAAAACATAAGGAGAGAGATCTTAAACGAGGTAAATCAAGAGAATCAGTGGATTCCCGAGACTCAAGCCACTCGAGGGAAAGATCAGCTGAGAAAACAGAGAAAACTCATAAAGGATCAAAGAAGCAGAAGTACGTAAGCCCCTGTTCCCTCATTCAGACTTCTGAGTGGGGTCTCTTGTCTGCTCCTTCTGGACTCTCTACCACAGTTTCATTTAGGGTTAGGGATGATAGCAGTTTGTTCTTTGATATCCTGTAACTGTCAAGTAAGGTCCCTGGCTTGAAAACAACTTCTGCATCAAAGTAGGGGTATGATCCTTGTCCAGAGAAGGCCTCCTGGGAGATGGGTGTTTAGTTTGGCTCTAGGGATGGAGTGGAAAATCATTTGGGAATTCCTTTTGGGTTATTTTAGACATTTTCTTTGATACATTCTTTTTCATCACAAATTTTAATGGGGAGGTTATGTTTTAGAAATGGCTCAAAGTTGTTGGCTCATAGTAACACTTTTGTCAAAGACATAGGGTGAAATTAAATATAGGACAAGGTTGTTGATTTTTTTTTTTTT